AGACATCCCACCCTCTGGCATCAGGACCAAGCCCTCCAGGCGGATGCTCCCAACCCCTCAGCACCCAAGCACCCTCCAATGGCAGCCCCCATGGCTCATGGAGGCAGGAGACCAAGGTGATGGCCACCCCCGAGGGGCTTTACCTGAACACACCACAACGGCTTCCCTGCCCTGGGGACAAGAGCCATTGCCCCGGGCCTGCACCTTGCACATGGACAGGGTGCTCTCGGTGCCCACGCAGCTCACGCGGTTGGGCCACGTCGGACCAGTTCCATGGCCGGACCAGGACTGGGCCGGGGCCACCAGCGCCGTCCCGCAGCCCAGCTGCCTGCAGAGCACCCGTGCCTCCGCCAGACCCCACTCCTGGTCGCATAGGGATGCCCAGGAGCTGAGGTGCGGCACCTCCACTCTGCCGTCGCACCGCGTCGAGCCGCTGGCCAAGCGCGGCGCCGTGGCCGCCGACAGCGCCGACCCTGGCAAGGAGGATAAGGAAGGGCCCCAGCATCACCCATGGGTGGGGGGAGAACAGGATGGGGACCGAGAGCCCGCGGTGCTCGGGGTCCTCTTGAAAGGGGGGTTCGAGGGGTGGCTTTGTAAAGGGGCGTTATTGGCATAGGCAGTGTAGGGCAAAGACACGTTATAGAGCCATAGAATGGGATAGGTAGGGTTGGAAGGGGCCTTTGGAGGTGATCTCTAGACCCATAGAATGGGTTGGGTTGGAAGGGACCTTTGGAGATCATCTATAGAACCATAGAATAGATTGGGTTGGGTAGGGTTGAGTTGGAAGGGAGCTTTGGTGGTCATCTCTAGACCCATAGAATGGGTTGGGATGGAAGGGCCTTTGGAGGTCATCTCTAGACCCATAGAATGGGTTGGGATGGAAGGGGCCTTTGGAGGTCATCTATAGAGCCATAGAATGGGTTGGGATGGAAGGGCCTTTGGAGGTCATCTCTAGACCCATAGAATGGGTTGGGATGGAAGGGCCTTTGGAGGTCATCTCTAGACCCATAGAATGGGTTGGGATGGGTTGGATTGGGTAGGGTTGAGTTGGAAGGGGCCTTTGGAGGTCATCTCTAGACCCATAGAACGGGTTGGGTTGGAAGGGCCTCGAACACTACCAGGGATGGGGCAGCCCCATCTATCCCTGAGCCCCCTGTGCCAGGGCCTCAGCATCCTCCCAGGGAAGAGCTTCCTCCTATGTAGAGTGAATCCACGCTCTCCCAACCCATCCCATTCCACGATCCCATGCCTGCAAAGCCCCATTACCTGAACACACCACACCGGCATCCTCCCCATGGAAGCAGTTGGTGTTGCCCCACGCGCTGGCCCGGCAATCCACCAGCGCGGCCTCGCTACCGGTGCAGTTGACCTCATCCAACCAGATGGGATCGTGGCCCCTTCCAAAGTGAGCCCCGTGGGTGGCGGCCAGCGCCGTGCCGCAGCCGAGCTGCCGGCACACCACGGCCGCGTCCAGCAGATCCCATCCGTCGTCGCACACCGTGCCCCACATGTGCTCGTGCAGCACCTCCACCCTCCCGGCGCAGCGGTCGAGGCCGTTGACCAACTGGAGGGTGCCCAAGGTGGCCACGGTGGAATCTGGTTTTGGGGTGGGGATGGGGAGGAGAAGGTTGGGGAAGGGATGCGCGCCCCATGGGACGGATGCAGGGGTGCAGGCAGGTACCTGAGCACTCGACGCTGGCGTCCTCCACGTGGTTGCAGTTGTGCTCCCCCCATGGCTTCGCTCGGCACCCCCGCAGTGCCGGTTCCTCCCCGGTGCAGTTGACGTCGTCCAACCAGATGGGCCCTTTCCCTTGCCCGTAGCGAGCTCCCGGCGCCACCGACAGCACCGAGCCGCAGCCCAGCTCCCGGCACACGACCTGGCCCTCCTGGAAGCCCCATCCGTCGTCGCACACCGTGCCCCACGTGCCGTTGTGCAGCACCTCCACGCGCCCGGCGCAGCGGCTGGGACCCCCTTCCAAGCGAAGGGACCCCATTGGGGTCCCATTGGATGTGCCTGGAGGGGAGGGATGGGGAGGAAGCAGGAGGTGACAGACAGGGGGTGCATGGGGGGGGTTTGGGGTGGCTTCTGACAGCTGAAAGGGGATGTGAGAGGTGGCGTTGGACAGCGCGGCCCTGCCCTGGGCATCTCAGATGTCCACTGAAGACAGTGGAAGTCAACTGGAGTCAACTCAGGAGTCAACTGAAGTCAATTGAAACCAATTGAAGTCAACTCAGAAGTCAACTTGAAGTCAATTGAAGTCAATTGAAACCAATTGAAGTCAACTGAAGCCAACTCAGAAGGCAACTGAAGTCAATTGAGACCAATTGAAGTCAACTGAAGCCAACTCAGAAGGCAACTGAAGTCAATTGAGACCGATTGAAGCCAATTGAAGCCAAATCAGAAGTCAACTGAAGCCAATTGAAGTCATTTGAAGCCAATTGAAGTCAACTGAAGCCAACTCAGAAGTCAACTGAAGTCAATTGAAGTCAATTGAAACCAATTGAAGCCAATTGAAGTCAACTCAGAAGTCAACTGAAGTCAATTGAAGTCAATTGAAACCAATTAAAGCCAATTGAAGTCACCTCAGAAGTCACCTGAAGTCAATTGAAGCCAATTGAACTCAACTGAAGTCAATTGAAGACAACTGAAGACAACTCAGAAGTCAATTGAAGCCAACTGAAGTCAACTCAGAAGTGAAGTCAATTGAAGCCTATTGAAGTCAACCTAAGTCAACTCCGAAGTCAGCTGAATCCCACCTCTGCATCTAAACCCCATGCGCCCAAAAGGTCACAGACCCATGGAATGGTTTGGGTGGGAAGGGACCTTCAAGCCCACCCAGTTCCAGCCCCCTGCCATAGGGACCCCTTCCACTGGAGCAGGATGCTCCAATCCCCTGTGTCCAACCTGCCCTTGAGCACTACCAGGGATGGGGCAGCCCCAGCTTCTCCCCCAACCCATCCCAGTGTCCCAGCACCCTCACAGGAAGAGCTCTTTCCTCACAGCCCATCTCAATGTCCCCTCTTCCAATTGGAATCTGCTTCCCTCATCCCATCCCTTGTCCAAAGCCCCCTCTCCTGCTTTCCTGCACCCCTTTAGGCACTGGAGCTGCTCTAAGGCCTCCCCTTAAGGAGCCTTTGCTGCCCCATCCCAGCTCTGTGAGCGTCTCCATCCCTCCAGTGCCTGGATCCAGGTGGATCCATCCCATCCCTCCTTGGACATGGATGTGTGCGGAAGGGCTCAATCAGAGCAACGGGCTCCGGGATCACCCCTTGGATTCCAAGAACCCCGTGAGCTTTGGGAAGAGGCCCCAAAGGGAACTGAGCTTCCTGGGTGGACCAGGAAGGAGAAGAGAGAAAAGCCAACGCTGCAATAGCGGCATCGCCATGGGGACGCTGCCCTCGTCAGCAGCCCCAAGGCAGGGCAGGGCTCAGCATGGGGTGGCCTAAGGCAGAACCCTTCATTCTGAGGCGTCCATCCCCAAATCAGGGTGCTCCCGCAGCCCAAAGGGACCCCATGGGTCTTGGGTGCCCACTGGCTCTAAGGGCTCCCCTTAAGGAGCCTTCTTCTGTGGCTCCTTGAGGTTCTTCATGTGCTGGTGCATGCATCCAGCAGCAAAGACAGAGCTTTATAGCACAGTGTATATATATATGCATACATTGCCCCCATGTCCCCATTGACCTCATGTCCCCGAGGTCTTCTCCATATCCCATTGGGTCCCATTGACCCCATTGTCCCCATTGACCTCATGTCCTGAAGGTCTTCTCCATGTCCCATTGGGTCCCATTGACCCCATGTCCCATTACATCCCTATTGACCCCATTGCCCCATGTCCCTCTTGTCCCCAAGGTCTTCTCCATATCCCATTGGGTCCCACTGACCTCATTGTCCCCATTGACCTCATGTCCTCAAGGTCTTCTCCATGTCCCATTGGGTGCCATTGACGCCATGTCCCATTGCACCCCTATTGACCCCATTGTCTCCATGTCCCTAAGGTCTTCTCCATATCCCATTGGGTCCCACTAACCCCATCTCCCATTGCACCCCTATTGACCCCATTGTCCCCATTGACCCCATGTCCTCAAGGTCTTCTCCATATCCCATTGGGTCCCATTGACCCCATTGTCCCCATTGACCCCATGTCCTCAAGGTCTTCTCCATATCCCATTGGGTCCCATTGACCCCATTGTCCCCACTGACCCCATGTCCCCAAGGTCTTCTCCATATCCCATTGGGTCCCATTGACCCCATTTTCCCCACTGACCTCATGTCCCCAAGGTCTTCTCCATATCCCATTGGGTCCCATTGACCCCATTTTTCCCATTGACCCCATGTCCTCAAGGTCTTCTCCATATCCCATTGGGTCCCATTGACCCCATTGTCCCCATTGACCCCATGTCCCCAAGGTCTTCTCCATGGAGAAAGGCCTCTGAAGAGCTCAGAAGTGCCCTTTCAAGGCCCCCCCCCACAAGCAAGACCCCACCCCTGCGGTGACTTGAGGGACCCCAATGGCATTGCCCCACCACTGGTGAATGAGACCCAACTCAGGTGCTCTCCATCCCATCCTGCTCCCTCCAAACCCCATCCAAAGGGGACCGCTCCTCCCCGTCCCCTTTGGGAATGAGAACCAGCTCCAAGGAGGGTGCCCCAGATCCAACATCGGGGCCCACCCTTAACCCCTTCCAAAGGGGCACCCACAGGATGGATCCCCATCCTTCAGCAGACCATGGGGTAGGGACCTCTTTGGGAGCACGGGGACCATGGAAGCACGGAACCATGGATTGGTTTGGATTGAGGAGGTCCAGGAGGACCCACATTTGCTTTCCCTCCCTTCCTACTACCTCTGCTTATGGGGCAAAGGGAACGCTCCTGCCCTCACCTAAACCCCTTGGAAGCCACCTCCAAACCCACCCCTCCTTCCCCAGCCCCACAGACCCTTCTGCTGCGCCCCATAGAGCACACCCGCCCCATAGAGCCCAACCAGAGGTCAGAAGCGAAGGGGAGCAGCACTCACCCCATAGCCACGCCAGCAGCAGCAGAACCCCGATGCTCTTGGCCCCACCAGGACCGCGTGCGGCCCCGCTCCGGCCCCGGGGATGGATCCGTGCCGGCGTGGCCATGGCCGCAGGCTGGAGGTGGGCAATGGGGTGGATGCCAATGGGAGGGCCGAGCGGGATCCCTCCCGTTCCTCTGCCTTGGACCCAGCTGGGGCTTTCACTTCCCCATGGAGCGATGCCAGGGGGTGGGGTGGGGGGTGCCCCATAGAGCCCTGCTTTGCGCAATGGGTTCCAGGAAAGCACGGAGCAAACAAAGCCTTTGGGACACACGGATCCCATGGCAGCCCCAAAGACCTTGGACCCCCCTTAGGCAGGGAGCCCATAGGGCAATGGAAGGGGTTGGGTTGGGAAGGGGCCTTCAAGCTCATCCCCTTCTCCATGGGGATCCCATCCAAGCCCTTGGGATGGGGGGGTCCAGACCTTCTCCGTCCACCCCATGCCCATGCTCATCCCACCATCACCCATTGAAACCATTGCCCCCAGTCCTGGTGGAGGCCATCGGCTCCATCTGGTGGGGTTTGGAGCACCCACTGCAAGGGAACAGCTTAGGGGGGGCTGGAGAAGGCTTTATTATGGGGGCCACCAGGGTGCTGTAGGGTGGAGATGGGTGCTGTAGGGTGGAGATGGGTGCTGTAGGGGTGGGGATGGGTGCTATAGGGGTGGGGATGGGTGCTGTAGGGGGGTCAATGAGGTGGAACTGGGGCTGGGGACCAGCACAAAGGGGCTCTCCCAAGCAGAACTGGGAACGAATCCGACCTCATCCCATAGGGGCTGGAGCAACCTTGGGATTGCATTGACCCGAGGCCATTGATCCCTGTCTGCAAACACCCAGGCCAGAGGCCAAGAGCAGCCGGGAATGGGGCTCGGCAGGGGCTGGATCCATAGGGATGGGGTCTCAATGGGGTCTCCATGGGGTCTCAATGGGGTCTCAATGGGGTCTCAATGGGGTCTCGATGGGGTCTCGATGGGGTCTCAATGGGGTCTCAATGGGGTCTCGATGGGGTCTCAATGGGGTCTCGATGGGGTCTCGATGGGGTCTCAATGGGGTCTCGATGGGGTCTCAATGGGGTCTCAATGGGGTCTCGATGGGGTCTCAATGGGGTCTCCATGGGGTCTCAATGGGGTCTCCATGGGGTCTCAATGGGGTCTCCATGGGGTCTCAATGGGGTCTCCATGGGGTCTCAATGGGGTCTCAATGAGGTCTCAATGGGGTTTCGATGGGGTCTCAATGGGGTCTCGATGGGGTCTCAATGGGGTCTCCATGGGGTCTCGATGGGGTCTCAATGGGGTCTCGATGGGGTCTCAATGGGGTCTCAATGGGGTCTCCATGGGGTCTCAATGGGGTCTCGATGGGGTCTCAATGGGGTCTCAATGGGGTCTCGATGGGGTCTCGATGGGGTCTCAATGGGGTCTCCATGGGGTCTCCATGGGCTCTTCCCTTCCTACGCCTCGGATGCTGTCCCGCTGCCCTCCATCCTCTTCAGGGGGGCTTTGTCTGCAACAGGAAGGAGCAGGATGATGCCCATAGGGTGCAAACCCCCCCCCAGCCGTACCCCAGGACCCCCACTCCTGCTCTCACCTTCAATGCGTCCACCCCGGTGCCCACAGCGCGCCCATAGGCAGAGCATGAGGAGGGTCCCACAGAGCAGCGCCCCCGTGCCGAGGAGCGCGGCCAGCACCGGGCAGGGATCGACCCCTCCTGTAGGGAGAGTGGGGCTCAAAGGGGTGCTCCAACCCCTCCTCCTGCCCATAGAATAGAATAGGGTTGGAAAGGACCCCGAGATCACCCAGTCCCAACCCTTACCATGGGCATGGACACCTCGCTCTAACCCATGGCACCCAAGGCTTCATCCAACCTGGCCTTGAGCACCACCAGGGATGGAGCATCCACAACTCCCTGGGCACCCATTCCAGTGCCTCAGCACCCTCACAGGGAAGAATTCCCTCCTTAGATCCCATCTAAACCTCCCCTGTCCCAGTTTGAACCCATTACCCCTTGTCCCATCACTGCAGTCCCTAATGAAGAGCCCATCCCCAGCATCCCTATAGGCCCCATTCAGACACTGGAAGGATGCTCTGAGGTCTCCATCAGCTTCTCTTCTCCAGGCTGAACACCCCAACTATCTCCATACAGGACCTGCTCCATCCCCTGAGCATCCTCATGGACTTGTTCCATCAGCTCCATGTCCTCTTTACGTTGAGGACCCCAGAACTGCACCCAATGCTCCAGGTGAGGTCCCACCAGAGCAGAATAAAGGGGCAGCATCACCTCCATGGACCTGCTGGTCACTCCTTTGGATGCACCCAGGATACGGTTGCTTTATGGGCTGTAGGACCTTGCACTCGCCATGGTTATAGCCCATGGGCTCCTGCAGCATCGCCCCCCTTGGGTGCTGTTGTGATGCTCCCATCATCGGGTTCACCTCCCGCATCCATAGATGGGATGCGCCCATCCCCAAGCCCATGGAGATGCCTTCACCCTGACGGTCCCACCCCAAAGGGCAACACCGGAGGTGGGGCTTGGAGCCTTCCTCACCCCAAAGCCTTGGCTCCGATGTGGGGTCAATGGAGGACCCCAGCGCTCACCTTCGGGCTCGGCGCACACCACGGTGGCCACCAAGCCCAATGGGCACGAGCCCGGCCCCGCGTGCGTCTGCAGGCACTCAATGAGCAGCGCCTCGGTGCCGCGGCAGCTGAGCCCCTCCAGCAGGGCCCCCCCGTGCTCCTGGTGCAGGGGGGCACCCATGGGTGCTGCCTGGGCCTCCCCGCAGCCCAGCTGCCTGCAGACCACGGCGGCCTCCAGCAGGCTCCAGCCGGTGCCGCACACCCCGAGCCAGGTCCCGTTGTAGAGCACCTCCAGGCGCCCCCCGCAGGGCCCGGGGCCCTCCTGCACCCGCAGCTGCAAGGGGTTGGGGCCTGCAAGAGGAGCACGGGGGGGAGATGGGGTGGAAGGGACTCAATGGGATGGGATGGGTTGGGTTGGAAGGGATGGGTTGGGTTGGAAGGGATTGGTTGGGTTGGAAGGGATGGGTTGGGTTGGGTTGGGTTGGAAGGGATGGGTTGGGTTGGGTTGGGTTGGGTTGGGTTGGAAGGGATGGGTTGGGTTGGGTTGGGTTGGAAGGGATGGGTTGGGTTGGAAAGGAATTTGGGTTGGGTTGGGTTGGAAGGGTTGGGTTGGGTTGGGTTGGAAGGGATTGGGATGGGTTGGGTTGGAAGGGGCCTTCAAGCTCATAGAGTCAGGGAATTGGTTGGGTTGGAAGGGATTGGGTTGGGTTGGGTTGGGTTGGAAGGGATGGGTTGGGTTGGGTTGGGTTGGAAGGGATTGGTTGGGTTGGGTTGGGTTGGAAGGGATTGGGTTGGGTTGGGTTGGAAGGGATGGGTTGGGTTGGAAGGGTTGGGTTGGGTTGGAAGGGATGGGTTGGGTTGGAAGGGTTGGGTTGGGTTGGAAGGGATTGGTTGGGTTGGGTTGGAAAGGATGGGTTGGGTTGGGTTGGAAGGGATTGGGTTGGGTTGGGTTGGAAGGGATGGGTTGGGTTGGGTTGGAAGGGATGGGTTGGGTTGGGTTGGAAGGGTTGGGTTGGGTTGGGTTGGAAGGGATGGGTTGGGTTGGAAGGGGCCTTCAAGCTCATAGACTCATAGAATGGGTTGGGTTGGAAGGGATTGGTTGGGTTGGGTTGGAAGGGATTGGTTGGGTTGGAAGGGATGGGTTGGGTTGGGTTGGAAGGGATTGGGTTGGGTTGGAAGGGATGGGTTGGGTTGGGTTGGGTTGGAAGGGATGGGTTGGGTTGGAAGGGGCCTTCAAGCCCATAGACCCATGGAATGGGTTGGGTTGGAAGCACCTTTGAGCTCATAGACCCATGGAATGGGTTGGGATGGAAGCACCTTCAAGCCCATAGACCCATGGAATGGGTTGGGTTGGAAGCACCTTCAAGCCCATAGACCCATGGAACAGCCATGGGGACCCCTTCCACTCAATCATCTTGCTCCAAGCCCCATCCAAGCTGACCTTGCCCCCTGCCAGCCCTGGGGCAGCCCCATCTCCTCTGCCCACAGCCCTCCACGAGCTGGGCGCTGGGTGACCCCCGCTCACCCCATAGCCCATTGGTGGCGTGCAGGCCCCATTGCTGCCAGGGCAGAGCAAACAGACCCTGCCCCATAGCACAGCTCCATCTGGGCGCTACCTGAGCAGACGACTCCGGCGTCCTCGCTATGGGCGCAGTTGTGCTCTCCCCATGCAGGGAGCTGGCACTGGCTCAGCGCCGCCTCGGTGCCGGCGCAGTGGACGTCATCGAGCCAGATGGGGTCAGCGCCGGGGCCGAAGCGAGCCGAGGTGGGGGCGGCCACGGCCTCCCCGCAGCCCAGCTGCCTGCAGACCACGGCGGCGTCCAGCAGGTCCCAGGCGTCGTCGCAGACCGTGCCCCACTTGTGGTCGTGGAGGACCTCGACTCGGCCCACGCAGGGGTTGGAGCCGTTGGCCAAGCGCAGGGGCTGCTGCGGGGAGGAGCCCGCCTCTGGGGAAGGGGAAAGGGGAGAAGCATCGGGGTACTCATGGGGGACATTGGGTTGGAAGGGGGCTTCGAGGTCATAGAGTGATGGGGTGGGGTGGGTTGGAAGGGTTGGGTTGGGTTGGGTTGGAAGGGATGGGATGGGTTGTAAGGGATGGGTTGGGTTTGAAGGGGCCTTCAAGATCATAGATTCATGGGATGGGTTGGGTTGGGTTGGAAGGGATTGGTTGGGTTGGAAGAGATGGGATTGGTTGGGTTGGAAGGGATGGGATGGGATCGGTTGGGTTGGATGGGATGGGATGGGTTGGGTTGGGTTGGAAGGGATGGGATTGGTTGGGTTGGAAGGGATGGGATTGGTTGGGTTGGAAGGGATGGGATTGGTTGGGTTGGAAGGGATGGGATTGGTTGGGTTGGAAGGGATGGGTTGGGTTGAAAGGGATGGGATGGGATCGGTTGGGTTGGAAGGGATGGGATGGGTTGGGTTGGGTTGGAAGGGATGGGATGGGATCGGTTGGGTTGGAAGGGATGGGTTGGGTTGGGTTGGAAGGGATGGGATGAGTTGGGTTGGGTTGGAAGGGATGGGATTGGTTGGGTTGGAAGGGATGGGATTGGTTGGGTTGGAAGGGATGGGATTGGTTGGGTTGGAAGGGATGGGATCGGTTGGGTTGGCAGGGATGGGATGAGTTGGGTTGGGTTGGAAGGGATGGGATCGGTTGGGTTGGAAGGGATGGGATGGGTTGGGTTAGGTTGGAAGGTGCCCTCAAGCCCATCCAGTTCCCACCCCTGCCATGGGGACCCCTTCCACTGGAGCACCTTGCTCCAAGCCCCTGTGTCCAACCTGGCCTTGAGCACTGCCAGGGATGGGGCATTGCTCCCACCTTCTCCCTCCAACCCATCCCAGTGTCCCAGCACCCTCCTAGGGAACGACTCCATCGCATCCATCCTCCATCTCCCCTCTTTAAGTGCTCCATCACCCCTTGCCCATGCAACCCATCCCTCCAATCCCTGCTGAGAGCCTCTATCCTGGATCCATGAGCTCAAGAGCAAAGCGATGGGCACGGAGGTGACCACCCCGGAGCAGAGCATCCTCCATGGACCAACCCAGGTCCATGAGGGGGACGTTCACCTGCACAGACAACCCCAGCATCGTGTCCATGGTCGCAGTCATTGGTACCCCAGGGTCGGGCCAAGCACTGGGCCAGGGCGGCTTCGCTCCCATTGCATTGGACGTGGTCGAGCCAGATGGGACCGGAGCCTTGGCCGAAGTGAGCTGCTCCATAGGGTGATGCCAGGGCCCCACAGCCCAGCTCCCGGCACACCACGGTGGCCTCGGGGGTGCCCCAGGCGCGGTCACACACGGTTCCCCATTGGGAATGGTGCCTCACTTCCAGCCGTCCGGAGCAGCGGTCAGAGCCATTGACCAGGCGGAGCTCTGTGGGGCCGGTGCGGGTGGCAATGGGGTGCATGGGGGTGTCTATAGGGGAGGACACAAGAGGAGCGCCATGAGCAGCCCTCGGTTGTGCAGGAGCATCCTGCTTCCCGCTGCGGTGGTTGGCTGCAGCCAGCGGTCAGCAATGGGTGGATACCTTGGGAGTGGGATGTGGGGATGCAGGAGGAAGGATGGGGTGATGGAGGGGACCTGGATGGGGTGATGGAGGGGACTGGGATGGGGTGATGGAGGGGACTGGGATGGGGTGATGGAGGGGACTGGGATGAAGTGAGGGAGGGGACTGGGATGAAGTGATGGAGGGGACTGGGATGGGGTGATGGAGGGGACTGGGATGAAGTGATGGAGGGGACTGGGATGAAGTGATGGAGGGTACCGGGATGCAATGATGCAGGGTACCAGGATGTGATGATGCAGGGTACCAGGATGTGATGATTTAGGGTACTGGGATGCAATGATGCAGGGTACCAGGATGCAATGATGCAGGGTACCAGGATGTGATGATGCAGGGTACCAGGATGCAATGATGCAGGGTACCAGGATACAATGATGCAGGGTACCAGGATGTGATGATTTAGGGTACTGGGATGCAATGATGCAGGGTACCAGGATGCGATGATGCAGGGTACCAGGATGTGATGATGCAGGGGACCGGGATGCAATGATGCAGGGTACCAGGATGCGATGATGCAGGGTACCAGGATGCGATGATGCAGGGTACCAGGATACAATGATGCAGGGTACCAGGATGCAATGATGCAGGGTACCAGGATGTGATGATTTAGGGTACCAGGATGCGATGATGCAGGGTACCAGGATGCAATGATGCAGGGTACCAGGATGCAATGATGCAGGGTACCGGGATGCAATGATGCAGGGTACCAGGATGCAATGATGCAGGGCACCAGGATGCAATGATGCAGGGTACCAGGATGCAATGATGCAGGGTACCAGGACACAATGATGCAGGGTACCAGGACGCAATGATGCAGGGTACCAGGATGTGATGCAGGGTACCAGGATGCGATGATGCAGGGTACCAGGATGCAATGATGCAGGGTACCAGGACGCGACGATGCCACATGCTCCCAGCATCCCTCCCACTGCCAATCCCAATCCCACTGGACCAGGACAAGGACAGGAGCATCCCCCCCTTCCCTTACCTGCGCACACCACACCAGCATCGTTGCCATGGTCGCAGTCGCTCTTCCCCCATCCTTTGCTCCCGCACGAGGACAGCGCCACCTCCATCCCGGTGCAGTTGACCCCATCCATCCAGATGGGTCCCGTTCCCATCCCGAAGCTCCCGGCCCCAGGGGCCGAGCGTGCGGGGCCGCAGCCCAGCTCCCGGCACACCACGGCCGCGTCCCATAGGTCCCAGTGCTGGTCGCAAACCGTCCCCCATTGGTGCTCATGGAAGAGCTCGACCCGGCCGGCGCAGGCGTGGGGACCCTGGGCCAAGCGCACCGGTGCCCATTGGGAAGCAGCTGGAGCTGGGAGAGGGAAGGGATCCGGGTGGGACACGGGAAGGGGGAATGGGGGGGGTGGGAGCCATGGATGGGCCCTGCCCTTGGCTCTAAGGCAAAGGGAACCCAAGTCCAGGAGAGGAGCCCTCTGCATCCCTGTTCCCAAAGGGAAAGGGGCCTTGGGATGCCTTTTCCCTTCCCAGTCCCGATCCATGCCATGCTCCAGTTTCCATCTCCTTATTCCCATTCCCAATCTATGGAATGCTCCCATTTCCATTTCTCTATTCCCAATCCATGAAATGCTCCTGTTCCCATTTCCCCATTCCCATTCCCAATCTATGGAATGCTCCTGATTGCATTTTCCCATTCCCAATCTATGGAATGCTCCTGTTCCCATTTCCCTGTTCCCAATCCATGCAATGCTCCCATTTCCATTTCCCTATTCCCATTCCCAATCTATGGAATGCTCCTGATTGCATTTTCCCATTCCCAATCTATGGAATGCTCCCATTCCCATTCCCATTCCCCATCCATGCAATCCTGATTGCATTTTCCCAGTCCCAATCCATGCAATGCTCCAGTTTCCATCTCCTTATTCCCATTCCCAGTCTATGGAATGCTCACATTTCCATTTCCCTATTCCCATTCCTGATCCATGCAATGCTCCCATTTCCATTTCTCTATTCCCAATCTATGGAATGCTCCTGTTCCCATTCCCATTCCCCATTCCCCATCCATGCAATGCTCCCATTCCCATTCCCCTGTTCCCATTCCCAATCCATGCAATGCTCCCATTCCCATTCCCCTGTTCCCATTCCCGATCCATGCAATGCTCCCATTCCCCTGTTCCCATTCCCCATCCATGCAATGCCCCCATTCCCATTCCCATTCCCCATTCCCCATCCATGGAGCGCTCCCATTCGCACCGGGAACCCGAGGACTTTGCCCCCTTCGCCGCGGCCCCAACTCAAACAAAGCTGATCCCGATCCCGATGTTCCCATTGGGAACGGCACCGAGGCTTTCCCATGGCCTCCCCCTTCCTCCTCCTTCCCAAAGGGATCCCATTGGGACGCCTCTGGAAGCCCCACTCACCCCATAGGAGGAACAGGAGGAGCATTCCCAAGGGTAGGAGCCAGGACCCCGACATTCCCATGGCATCGGGGTGATGGGGGTGGGGAGAGCGGGATTGTCCCCTCCTCCGGCACTGAGCCCTCCTCTTCCCTATGGATCCAGTGCCCCCCCCCCCCTTCCCATCCCATTCCAGCCCCATTTCCCTGCAGTGCTCCATGGAATTCCAGCCTTTGGGAAGAGAGGGCCCTTAAAGCCCATGCGATTCCCACCCCGACCCATTCCGATGTCCCAAGGTCCCATCCCGCTCTTCCCATTCCCATTCAAAGCCCCTTGAACCCATCCCAAGCCCTTCCTAATGCATGGATTCATCCCAAAGGGCCTGGAGTCGGGATCCAACGGGATCGGGCTTTGGGATATGGGATAAAGGGGGGGGGGGGGGAGAATCTGGACCCGTTTTGGGGAGATCTGAGCCCATTTTGGGGGGTTCCGAGCCCGTTTTGGGGGATCTGAGCCCCTTTTGATGGGTTATGGACCCATTTTGGGGGGATCTGGACCCATTTTGCAGAGATTTGGATGGGTTTTGGGGGGATCGGACCCTTTTTGCGGGGATCTGAGCCCTTTTTGGGGTGATCCAGAGCCGTTTTGGGGGATCCGAGCCTGTTTTGGGGTGGTCTGGACCCGTTTTGGGGGATCTGAGCCTGTTTTGTGGGATCTGAGCCCGTTTTTGGGGTGATCCAAGCCCGTTTTGGGGGATCTGAGCCCATTTTGATGGGTTACGGACCCATTTTGGGAGTATCTGGACCTATTTTTGGGGGATCCGGAACCGTTTTGGGGGATCCGTGCCCGTTTTGGGGGATCTGAGTCTGTTTTGGGGGGATCCGGACCCATTTTGGGGGGATTTGAGCCCTTTTTGGAGGGTTCCGAGCCCGTTTGGGGGGATCCAAGACCATTTTAGGGGATCCGAGCCCGTTTTGGGGGATCTGAGCCCATTTTGATGGGTTACGGACACATTTTGGGGGGATCTGGACCTATTTTGGGGGGATCCGGAACCGTTTTGGGGGCATCTGGACCCGTTTTGCGGGTACCCGAGCCGGTTTGGGGGGATTCGGAACCGGTTTTGGGGGGATCCGAGCCCGTTTTGGGGGTTCTGAGCCCGTTTTGGGAGGCTCCGAGCCCGTTTTGGGTGATCCGAGCCCGTTTTGGGGTGATCTAGGCCCATTTTTGGGGTCCCGCTGCCAAGGCACCCCCCCAAGATGGCGGCGGCGCGCACAACATTTCCCAGCATGCCCTGCGAGGCGTAGGCACGGCCCTGCGTGCGTGCGTGCGCGCGCGTGACGCCGGGAGGGGCGGGGCTTCGCGCTCGGCGCGGCCCAGGCGTTGCGCGGCGGCGGCGTCGGAGCCGGAAGCGACCGGTAACGGGAACGGGGAGCGAGCGGTAACGGGAACGGGAGCCCCGGGTTCGGGGGGGGGTGAACGGGAACCGGGGAACGGGAGGAGGCGGCGGAGGGGACGGGGAGGGCCCGAGGGGCGGGGTTTTGGGGAACGTAGGGGCGGGGCCTGGACGGGATTGCGGGGCCGGGAGGGCCTGAGGGGAGGAAGAGGGCGGGGCTTGGAGGAGCGAAGGGGGTGTGGCCGACGGGCGGGAGGGGCGGGGTTTGCGCGGGGGGTGGTGCCAAAAAGGGGGCGTGGCCTCTGCGGGTTAACTGCGTCCTTACGGCCGAGCCACGCCCCCTTTAGAGGAAACCAGGCCCTTCCAAGGCGGCCACGCCCCCTCTAGAGGAAACCACGTCGCCTCTAGCGGAGAGAGCGCCCCTTTAGGAGAGGCCACGCCCCCTCCCGCGGAGGCCACGCCCCCTCCCCATAGACCACGCCCCCTTCCCCTCTATTCCCGCGGCATCTCCACGTGTTCCCTTGTCCCCGATGGCCGCCGGGTCCCGGTGCGGTTCCGCGGCCCCACCGCAGCCCCCGTTCGCATGCCGGGAATGCGGGAAGTGCTTCCGCTGGTCCTCGCGCCTGGCCCATCACCAGCGCAGCCACACGGGCGAGCGGCCCTACAAGTGCCCCGAGTGCCCCAAAGCCTTCAAGGGCTCCTCGGCCCTCCTCTACCACCAGCGCGGGCACACCGGCGAGCGGCCCTACCCGTGCCCGCAGTGCCCTAAGGCCTTCAAGCGCTCCTCCTTGCTCCAGACCCACCAACGGGTCCATACTGGGCTGCGGGCCTTCGAGTGCGCCCAATGCGGGCTCACCTTCAAGTGGGCCTCCCATTACCAGTACCACCAGCGGCAGCACACGGGCGAGCGGCCCTACCGCTGCGCCGAGTGCCCCAAGGCCTTCAAGAACTCCTCCAGCCTCCGGCGCCACCGCCAGCTCCACACGGGCGAGCGGCCCCACACTTGTGGGGTGTGCGGCAAGGCCTTCGCCCAGCCCTCCAACCTGCGGCAGCACCAACGGGTGCACACGGGCGAGCGCCCCTATGCCTGCCCCCAGTGCCCCAAGACCTTCACCCACTCCTCCAACCTCCTCCTGCACCGCCGCACCCACACCAACGCCCGGCCCCACCAGTGCCCCCTGAAGCCCCCCGCTGCGCTCCAGCCCCACGCTCCGGCCCCACCGCCGCCCCCCATTCCCACCGCACCGGAGCCCCCATGGCGGTGCTCTTTGTGCCCGCTGAGCCTCAGCACCCACGAGGAGCTCCTTGGCCACCAAGGAACCCATGGGGCGCCGACACCGAGCGCGGTGCCCGCTCTCCGCTGCCGGACCTGCGCCAAGAGCTTCAAGAGCAGCGCGGCGCTGGCGCGGCACCGCCACGGCCCCGCTGCCCAGCGCCCGTTCAAGTGCCCTAAAACCTTCCCCCAGTTCACAACGGGGCTCTTGGGGCACCCCCCTATGGCGGTGCCGGCACCGGCGCCCACCTCCCCTCCGTTACCGGAGCGCCCGTACCAGTGCCCTGAGTGCGGCAAAGCCTTCAAGGGCTCCTCGGGGCTGCGGTATCACCTACGGGACCACACTGGTGAGCGGCCCTACCCGTGCCCACAGTGCCCTAAGGCCTTCAAGCGCTCCTCCTTGCTCCAGACCCACCAACGGGTCCATACTGGGCTGCGGGCCTTCGAGTGCGCCCAATGCGGGCTCACCTTCAAGTGGGCCTCCCATTACCAGTACCACCAGCGGCAGCACACGGGCGAGCGGCCCTACCGCTGCGCCGAGTGCCCCAAGGCCTTCAAGAACTCCTCCAGCCTCCGGCGCCACCGCCAGCTCCACACGGGCGAGCGGCCCCACACTTGTGGGGTGTGCGGCAAGGCCTTCGCCCAGCCCTCCAACCTGCGGCAGCACCAACGGGTGCACACGGGCGAGCGCCCCTATGCCTGCCCCCAGTGCCCCAAGACCTTCACCCACTCCTCCAACCTCCGCCTCCATCGCCGGACCCACACCAACGCCCGGCCCCACCGATGCCCGCTCTGCGCCAAGGCCTTCACCGTGGCCTCCTACCTGCAGCGGCACCTCCGTACCCATGGTACTGCCCCAGTGCCCCGCACCCCCCCTCAGACCTTCCTCCTCCTCCTGCACCCCCCCCAAGGGCTCCAGGTTGCACCCGGCCCCACGGCGGCCCCACAGAAGCTCCTGGTGCTGCCCAGCCCCACGGCGGAGCCCCCCGAGGGGGTCCCTGTTGCCGGGCAGAGCATCCTGGTGGTGCCCGGTGTGGGGCAGGTCCAGGCGGTGACCGGGGCTCCATTGGGGACCAGCGTTGTTGTGATAAGGGGTGGTATCGGGGGGGGGCTGACGGCGTGTGGGGTGCATCCCCCTGAGGGCACCAATGGGCAGCTCCAAGCATCCGAGGTGGCCAATGGGCAGCTCCAAGCATCTGAGGTGGCCACCATCCAGCTCCAAGCATCTGAGGTGGCCAACGTCCAGCTCCAGGCTGTTCCACAGGCCCCCAAGGTGGCCACCATCCAGCTCCAAGCCCTACCACAGCCATTGGATGTCACCACCATCCAGCTCCAAGCATCTGAGGTAGCCAATGGGCAGCTCCAGGGTGTTCCACAGGCCCCAAAGGTGGCCACCATCCAGCTCCAAGCATCTGAGGTGGCCAATGGGCACCTCCAAGCCCTACCACAGCCATTGGATGTCACCAACATCCAGCTCCAAGCATCTGAGGTGGCCAATGGGCAGCTCCAGGCTCTTCCACAGGCCCCCAAGGTGGCCACCATCCAGCTCCAAGCATCTGAGGTATCCAATGGGCAGCTCCAGGCTGTTCCACAGGCCCCCAAGGTAGCCACCATCCAGCTCCAGGCTGTTCCACAGGCCCCCAAGGTGGCCACCATCCAGCTCCAAGCATCTGAGGTAGCCAATGGGCAGCTCCAAGCCCTACCACAGCCATTGGATGTCACCAACGTCCAGCTCCAAGGCACAGAGGTGGCCAACGTCCAGCTCCAGGTCTTGCCACCGCCATTGGATGTCACCAGTGTCCAGCTCCAGGCTCTTCAACAGGCCCCCAAGGTGGCCACCATCCAGCTCCAAGCATCCGAGGTAGCCAATGGGCAGCTCCAGGCTCTTGCACAGGCCCCCAAGGTGGCCACCATCCAGCTCCAAGCATCTGAAGTGGCCAATGGGCAGCTCCAAGCTCTTCCACAGGCCCCCAAGGTGGCCACCATCCAGCTCCAAGCTGTTCCACAGCCTTCCAAGGTGGCCACCATCCAGCTCCAAACATCTGAGGTGGCCAATGGGCAGCTCCAGGCTGTTCCACAGGCCCCCAAGGTGGCCACCATCCAGCTCCAAGGAGCTGAGGTAGCCAATGGGCAGCTCCAGGTCTTGCCACCACCATTGGATGTCACCAGTGTCCAGCTCCAAGCTCTTCCACAGGCCCCCAAGGTGGCCGCCATCCAGCTCCAAGCATCCGACGTGGCCAATGGGCAGCTCCAAGCCCTACCACAGGCCCCCAAGGTGGCCACCATCCAGCTCCAAGCATCTGAGGTAGCCAATGGGCAGCTCCAAACTCTTCCACAGGCCCCCAGCGTGGCCACCATCCAGCTCCAAGCATCTGAGGTGGCCAATGGGCAGCTCCAGGTCTTGCCACCACCATTGGATGTCACCAGTGTCCAGCTCCAGGCTGTTCCACAGGCCCCCAAGGTGGCCACCATCCAGCTCCAAGCATCCGAGGTAGCCAATGGGCAGCTCCAGGCTCTTCCACAGGCCCCCAAGGTGGCCACCATCCAGCTCCAGGCCATGGAGGTGGCCAACGTCCAGCTCCAGAGCACAGAGGTGCCCAGTGGCCATCTGGAAGCCCCCGAGGTGCCCAATGGCCTCCAGAGCACCGAGGTGCCCGGTGGCCACCTCCAAGAGCCCCAGCACCAGCAGGAGGTGATGGAGGTGCCCAACATCCAACTCAAGACCCTTGAGGTGCCCAGCGCCCAACTGAAGCCCATTGAGGTGCCCAGTGTCCAACTGAAGCCCATTGAGGTGCCCAGCACCCAACTGAAGCCCATTGAGGTGCCCAGCGCCCAACTGAAGCCCATTGAGGTGCCCAGCACCCAACTGAAGCCCATTGAGGCACCACTGGGACCACCATGGACCCCCATGCCCCTGGTGCAGTCCTGATGGGGGCACTGCGGAGACCCCATGGAACCCCCATGGACCCAGCTATGGATCCCCATGGACCCAGCTATAGATCCCCATGGACCCCCATGGCCCCGGGTGCAGTCCTGATGGGGACACCACTGAGACCCCATGGACCCCAATGGACCCGGCTATGGATCCCTATGGACCCCCCATGGAACCCCATGGACCTGGCTATGGATCCCCATGGACCCCCATGGACCCGTCTATGGATCCCTATGGACTCCCCATGGAACCCCCATGGACCTGGCTATGGATCCCTATGAACCCCAATGGCCCCTGGTGCAGTCCTGATGGGGGCACTGTGGAGACCCAATGGAACCCCCATGGACCTCCATGGACCCCCCTATGGATCCCCATGGACCCCCCCATAGACCCCACCATGGACCCCTCTATGGATCCCCATGGACACCCCTTTGGATACCCCCATGGAACCCCCCATAGACCCTGCTGGGAACCCACACCAGGGTCCCAGTGATGGGGGCGATGAGGACAGATCCCCCTGGACCCCTATGAACCCCCCCATGGACCCCTGTGGACCCCCCCATGGACCCCTATGGACCCCCCATGGACCCCCCCCATGGACCCCCATGGACCCCCCCCAGCCCTATCCTATGGGGGGGTCCTTGGCCTGGGGAGGGGGATGGGGATGAGGGACCTGAAGGGGGTGAGGTCAATAAACAAAGCCCCGCCCCCTGCAATGCTCCGCCCTCTGGGTGGGCGGGGCCTGTTGCTATGGGAAGGTCCCACTATTGGCTGAATCGTCGCTAGGGGCGGGGCCTGGACGGGTTCATTGGCTGGGGGGGTGGGTGAGGGGAGGCACGTGGGGGACCATGGTGGGGGGACGGACGACGACACTGGCCCATTATGGCTCAATTACAGCGCCCAGAATGGATCCAGTATCCCCCAGTACAGCCCCATTATCCCCCAGTGCAACCCCAACATCTCCCTGTGTACAGCCGCAGTATGGCTCTGGTACCCTCCCCAGTACAGCCCCAGCATCCCCCCAGTACAGACCCAGTATGGCTCTGGTACCGCCCCCCAGTACGGCCCCAGTATGGCTCCCGTACCCCCCGCAGTACAGCCCCAGCATCCCCCCAGTACAGCCCCAGTATGGCTCCGGTACCCCCCCCAGTACAGCCCCAGCATCCCCCCAGTACAGCCCCAGTATCTCCCAGTACAGCCCCAGTATGGCTCCTGTAACCGCCCCCCAGTACGGCCCCAGCATCCCCCCAGTACAGCCCCAGTATGGCTCCGGTACCCCCCAGAACAGAGCATCCCCAGTACAGCCCCAGTATGGCTCCCGTACCCTCCCAGTACAGCCCCAGCATCCCCCAGTACAGCCCCATTATGGCTCTGGTACCGCCCCCAGTACAGGCCCAGCATCCCCCCAGTACAGCCCCAGTATCCCCCCAGTGTGCCCACGTGTGTCTGTGTGTGTGTACACGCCTGTACACGTATGCACACGTGACCTGGGCACCGTCACGTGGCTCGGGGGCCCCGTGCACGCGCGTGGCGCCTCACGTGACCGCCGCACGTGTGGCCCCTTGGGTCCCCTCCTTGGCTCCAGGACTGACCCAGCCCAGGATGGGGGGGGGGGGGATGGGGGGGTGATGGGATGGGAATGGGGGGGCAATGGGATGGGGATGGGGGGGGCAATGGGATGGGAATGGGGATGGGGGGGGCAGTGGGATGGGAATGGGGATGGGGGGGGCAATGGGAATGGGATGGGAATGGGGGGGGCAATGGGATCGGGATGGGGATGGGGGGGGCAATGGGATGGACGCAGCTGGGTCTGACTCATCCCGGCCCCATCCCTCCCCGTCCCTAAGGCGCCGCCATGGTCCTGGTGCTGCTGCTGGGTGAGGCCGGGCAGGGCAGTGAATGGGGCACTGCATGGGTGCTGCATGGGCACTGCATGGGGCACTGCAAGGGGCAGTGCATGGGGCACTGCATGGGCTCTGCATAGGCACTGAATGGGACAGTGCATGGGTGCTTTGGGGCAGTGCAAGGGGCACTGCATGGGCGCTGCATGGGCACTGCATAGGGCACTGCAAGGGGCAGTGCATGGGTGCTGCATGGGCACTGAATAGGGCACTGCATAGGTCCTGAATAGGGCACTGCATGGGCACTACATGGGGCACCGAATAGGGCACTGCATGGGCGCTGCATGGGTGCTGAATGGGGCAGTGCATGGAGCAGTGCATGGGCTCTGCATGGGGCACTGAATAGGGCACTTCATGGGGCACTGCATGGGCACTGCATGGGGCACTGCACAGGACACTGCATGGGGCAGTGCATGGAGCAGTGCATGGGCACTGCATGGGCACTGAATAGGGCATTGCAAGGGGCACTGCCTGGGCACTGCATGGGCACTGCATAGGCCCTGAATAGGGCACTGCATGGGTGCTGCATGGGCACTGCATAAGGTGCTGTATGGGCACTGCATGGGGCACTGTGTGGGCACTGCATGGGCTCTGCATAGGGCACTGCATGGGCACTGCACACATAGGGGATATGGGGCACTGAAGGGGCACTGCATGGGCACTGCACACAGTGGGGATATGGGGCACCATGGGGGGGGCAGGTGCAGGGCACTGGGAAGGGGTCTGGGAACTGGAAGGGCACTGGGCTCACTGGGTACTGGCCATGGGACACTGGTCATGGGGCACTGGGTACTGGTCACACTGGTCATGGGGCACTGGGTACCGGTCACACTGGGCACACTGGTCATGGGGCACTGGGTACCGGTCACACTGGTCATGGGGCACTGGATACTGGTCACACTGGGCACACTGGTCATGGGGCACTGGGTACCAGTCACATGGGGCACTGGGGGCACTGGGTACCGGTCACACTGGGCACTGGCACCGTTCCCACTGGTTCTGTTCCCTCCGGGTCCTGGTGTCCGGATGCTGCTCCCCCCCCCCCTTACTGGTTTCCAGTGGGGCTGCTGGGACCCCACGGCTCAGGTACGGGGGGGGGGGAACCGGGCCCTGCGGCTCCCAGGGGTGGGTCCAAGGGGTCCCAATGGGTCTGAGGGGTCCTGATGTGTCCCAATGCTCCCAGTAGTCCCAGTACATCCCAGTGGGTCCCAATGCATCCCAATGGTCCCACTGCATCCCAATGGTGTCACTGCATTCCAATGCATCCCAATGCTCCCACTGCATCCCACTGCACACCAATGCTCCCACTGCATCCCAATGCATCCCAATGGGTCCCACTGCATCCCAATGCTCCCACTGCATTCCAATGGGTCCCACTGCATCCCAATGGGTCTCACTGCATCCCAATGCTCCCACTGCATTCCAATGGGTCCCACTGCATCCCAATGGGTCCCACTGCATCCCAATGCACCCCAATGGTCCCAGTGCACCCCAGTGGTCCCAAAGCACCCCAATGGGTCCCAAAACACCCCAATGGGTCCCAAAACACCCCAATGGGTCCCACTGCATCCCAATGGTCCCACATCATCCCAATGGGTCCCACTGCATCCCAATGGTCCCCAATGCTCCCATTGCATCCCAATGGGTCTCACTGCATCCCAATGCACCCCAATGTTCCCACTGCATCCCAATGGGTCCCATTGCACGCCAATGCTCCCATTGCACCCCAATGGGTCCCACTGCACCCCAATGGTCCCACTGCACCCCAGTGTTCCCACTGCATCCCAATGGGTCCCAATGCACCCCAATGCTCCCAGTGCACCCCAGTGGTCCCAAAGCACCCCAATGGGTCCCACTGCATCCCAATGGTCCCAATGGTCCCCAATGCTCCCACTGCATCCCAATGATCCCACATCATCCCAATGGGTCCCACTGCATCCCAATGCTCCCACTGCATCCCACTGCATCCCAATGGGTCCCAGTGCATCCCAATGCTCCCATTGCACCCCAATGGGTCCCACTGCACCCCAATGCTCCCACTGCATCCCACTGCATCCCAATGGTCCCCAATGCTCCCACTGCATCCCAATGGGTCCCATTGCACCCCAATGCTCCCATTGCACCCCAATGGGTACCAATGCAACCCAAGGTCCCACTGCATCCCAATGCACCCCAATGCACCCCAATGGTCCCCAATGCTCCCATTGCCTTCCCCTGCAGTTCCTCTCTGCCCCGCACCCCCTCCCCCAGTTCCCCCCTCTCCTCCCCATCCCTCACCCCTCCCCCGTCTCTCTCCCCCCCTCTCTCTCCCCCCCCAGCCCCATTCCCGGTGCGCTTGGCCGGGGGCCCCGGTCCCTGCGCGGGCCGCGTGGAGCTGCTGCGGGGGGGGACCTGGGGCTCGGTCTGCGACGATGAATGGGGGCTACCGGATGCGGCCGTCGTGTGCCGGGAGCTGCGCTGCGGGGGGGCCCTGGCGGCGCCGGGGGGGGCCTGGTTCGGGGAGGGCTCCGGCCCCATCTGGCTCAATGGGGTCCGGTGCCGCGGCAGCGAGAGCGCGCTCCGGAGCTGCCGGCACCGAGGGTGGAGGGAGCACGTGTGCGCGCATGAGGAGGATGCGAGCGCCGTGTGCGAGGGTGGGAGGGGAGGGGAGGGGAGGGGATGGGGATGGGATGGGATGGGATGGGGATGGGATGGGGATGGGGATGGGGATGGGGATGGGATGGGGATGGGATGGGATGGGATGGGATGGGGATGGGATGGGATGGGATGGGATGGGGATGGGGATGGGGATGGGGATGGGGATGGGGATGGGGATGGGATGGGGATGGGATGGGGATGGGATGGGATGGGGATGGGATGGATGGGGATGGGATTGGATGGGATGGGATGGGGATGGGGATGGGGATGGGGATGGGGATGGGGATGGGATGGGATTGGATGGGATGGGGATGGGATGGGATGGGATGGGATGGGATGGGATGGGGATGGGATGGGATGGGGATGGGGATGGGATGGGATGGGATGGGATGGGATGGGATGGGGATGGGGATGGGATGGGGATGGGGAAGGGATGGGGATGGGGATGGGATGGGGATG